CACTTGTGAGAGGATCTTTATAATAGCAGAGTCTGCTCAAACTTCCTGCAATACTGCCTTTTGGAACCAGATTTGGTACCCTAGCAAGGGGGTGCCTTAGTTAGGAGGTCAGGGAAGGCAAAGCAGATGGAAAGCTCTCTCATGGAGTCAGTGCTGTCAGCCCTAGGAAAAGTGTAAACCTGTAACATAAACAGCACATCCCAGCCTGCCTGCTTTGAGGGACTGAAATGTGCCTTGTGTTGTGTTTGACATCACAGTCCTAGAAACAAGCTGTGGGGCCCTGCAGCTCTCTCAGGGTAACTCTTTGACTGGTCAAATGACTCTGAATGACTTGGAAATCGTGGTGCAATCCTATTTGTCAGGTTTTAGGCCATATTCAAACTGAAACAGGGGAAGTTCAGGTTGGATATAAGTAAAAAGCTCTTCCTTGTGAGGGTGCTGAGGCACTGGCACAGGGTGCCCAGAGAAGCTGTGGCTGCCCCATCCCTGGCAGTGCTCAAGGCCAGGTTGGACACAGGGGCTTGGAGCAAGCTGCTCCAGTGGAAGGTGTTCTAGGGGTTGGGACTGGAGGAGCTTTCAGGTCCCTTCCAACACAAAGCACTCTAGGATTTTATCTTAACCGTACTCCAAGGCTGCTGACAGACGATGCTAATCCAGGACTGTGTGTTCCCCATGCTGTCATAGAATCATAGGATGGTTTGGGTTGGAAAGGACCTTAAGATCATCAAGTTCCAACCCCCTGCCATGGGCAAGGACAACTCACACTAAACCATATCACCCAAGGCTTCATCCAAACTGGCCTTGAACACTGCCAGGGATGGAGCATTCACAACCTCCCTGGGCAGCCCATTCCAGTGCCTCACCACCCTCACAGTAAAGAACTTCTTCCTTATATTTAATCTAAACTTCCCCTGTTTCAGTTTTACCCCATTACCCCTTGTCCTGTCACTACAGTCCCTAATGAAGAGTCCCTCCCCAGCATCCCTACAGGCCCCCTTCAGATACTGGAAGGCTGCTCTGAGGTCTCCACGCAGCTTCTGTTCTCCAGGCTCTTCCTTATTGCCACTCCACTAAAAGCTTTGTGTCAAGACCCCCTTGCAGAGGGAGATCCAAGAGCTTGGAAGCCTGAATCGTTGGGTAAGTTGGAGGCAGCACCTTAAACACTGAGTCATAGAATCACAAACAGCTTCTCTGGGCAGCCTCTGCCAGTGTCTCAGCACCCTCGCAGTGGGACTTGTGGCAGGACACCTTGATGCCTGTCATGGGTTCATGTGAGGAGGGTGTTCTGGGAAGGAGCAGGGCTGGTTGGGGAATGATTTAGGGCAGGTGTGATGGGAACAGGTCCTCATGCACACTGCAGGGACCTGGCCTGGTCCCTGGGTGGGAGCAGAGATGGCTGGATCATGACAGGGGTCCCATAGCCCGATCCCTCTGCCTGCAGAGGCTTGGTTGGACTTTGTGCTGAAGGACTTCAGTAGTTTTCAATGCAGAGACACTGTAGTCATTGCTGTAGAAGTGCAGAATCTGGGCAGCTGGGGGTTGCTGGTGTTGACTGTCGTTGTTTTGCACAGTGATTCATGGAACGTGCTGTGTTTTACACTGGTTGCTCCTGGCTCGAGGTCTGTGCTTCCTCCCTTCGTTACCGTGTCACAGCCGCATCCTTCCACAGGTCCAAAGCAAGGGCCTCCTTCAGCCGCTGTCGGAGCGAGCCGCAGCTAACTCCTGCCACCTGCCGTCTCCTCCTTTGCTCTTCACCGCATTAACATCCCCGTTTCCTAGGGACAAAGATGGAGCTGCCCCATCGCTTGCAGTGACCTCCTGCTGAGCAGTGCTCTGCAGCCACCCGGCTTTTAGCATCACAGAATCCCAGCCTGGTTTGTGTTGGAAGAGAGCATAAAGCTCTTCCAGTTCCACCCCTTGCTACAGGCAGGGACACCTTCCACTAGAGCAGGTTGGATGAGGTGGGTTCCAGCTGGATTAACTGCGTGGTTTGTGCTGCAGCATCCTCATGGTGACCATGCCAGGCTTCCCGCTCATGCAGCCTGAATGGCTCCGGCTCATCCCACCATGAGCTACAAGTGCTGCAGGAATCTGACAAACTTGTATGGTTCTGGCAAGCTGTTTCCTGGGGAGCTGTGCCTTGGCCAAGGTTTAACCTCCACCTTTAACCCAGGCCACAGAGCATGAGGGCTCTTCTTACACCTCTGCTACAAGACTCCTTCCAGGATGTCAAAAATCCCTGGGATTTAGGTGGGAATTTCTGCAGGAGTGACTCAGAATAGGCCTAGGCTGGCAGAGAGGGGGTTTCCTTTATGTTAAAAAGGAGGAAAAAGGGAGGGGATTTGAGTGTATTCCACCCACCTTACAGCATAGAAGCCGTGCTACAGTAAACAAACCCCACAGACACCAAACACAAACCCCATCTTTGGTGGATCATTCCCCTCTTATTAAACTTACCCCGTTGCTTGTGGGTAGATGTCTTTGCAAAAAGTTCCCCTCCTCAGCCTTGCCCCATCTCCCTCCCTTCACCTCTCACACACTCTCTAAACCTCATGGGTTAACTTCTCCCAAACCAGCTGCTAACACCTACCAGCACGCAGCGGGTACAGCATCAAAGAGCCAGAAGAAGCTCTGCCCAGGGAAATGCTCACATTTAGCACAGTGCTGTATTTCCATTTGTATCACAGTATCACAGTATGTTAGAGATTGGACGGGACCTCAAAAGCTCATCTAGTCCAATCCCCCTGCCGGAGCAGGAACACCTAGATAAGGTTACACAGGAACGTGTCCAGGCGGGTTTTGAATGTCTCCAGAGAAGGAGATTCCACAACCTCCCTGGGCAGCCTGGTCCAGTGTTCCGTCACCCTCACTGAGAAGAAGTTTCTTCTCAGGTTTAAGTGGAACCTCTTGTGTTCCAATTTGTACCCATTTCCCCTTGTCCTTGTCCCTTTGTGTCAGTAAACTCAATGTTCTCCACTGAAGGTTTTGCACCAAAGTGTTTTGAGTAATCACAGTTAGTTTTCTGAATAGGTGGGATTAATTATCAGCTGCCTCTTGTTTGTAGATGCCATAGTTACAGAGCCGAGCTGCTTCTGTTGATTACTGTGTGCGTACAAAGGAAGCGTACTCGAGCTGTCAATGGTGAAAGAGCAGATAATAAGGAGCAAAGGAAAGGAATATTAATTGAGCCATTACCAGTTCAAGATGTACTTAAGCAGTTGGGCAAGTAAATGCTACACTGAGGCATGGTAGAGGTAGGAAGCTGTGGCTGCCCCATCCCTGGCAGTGTTCAAGGCCAGGTTGGACACAGGGGCTTGGAGCAAGCTGCTCTAGTGGAAGATGTCCCTGCCCATGGCCTATCCCAGTAGGTAGTTTCATGAGACATCAGTAGTGACTGCCTGAGCACCCCCTCGCTCCCAAGCACGTGCATATCTGCAAATAGATATCTGCATCTATCTTGTGAATGTAACTGCTTCAGCAAAGCATCAAATCCCCACATGCAGTGTGTTATTACTGCTGTTAAATCGTTCAGTAATTCACTGGGGTTGTTCATAGGAAGGAGTTTGGTGTATCCCAGGAAGCAGCTTGCACCAGGCACTGCCACATCAGGGTGTGCAGCCTGTGTTCCTCTATCAGGGCTACTCCCAGGGCAGCTCCTGCATCCCCCAGCTGTATCACTGCACACAGTTTGGTGTCGCAGCACAGCTTGGGGCTTCTGTGGTCTTACTATACAGGGGCTGAAACGCTTCTGCAACACCTAAGGCTGAGGTGGTTGTTGTTCATGCCATGAAATCTGGATTTTAATCAGATTCCCTGTCAGGGGGTAGGCGGTCTGAGTGCTTCAAAGTGTCAGGTCACTGCCCACACTGGGGAGGCTATCTTGGTTTTGAGCCTGTTTGGTCTTCTGTTTGCTGCAGCCTCACATGTTAACAATGCAGGTCCAGTTCAGCAATGGTACCTTCATGTTAGCAGTTGTCTCCAAGACCTCTTCTGTCTGTAATTCACTTCTGCAGTGTTTGGTGTTTGTTTCCCACTTCTCATTCATCCCTTGGTCGCCCTGTATTGAATCTCTGTGTGCATGTATGGACTCGCAGCAGGGAAGGGGACTAAGCTGAGATACATTTTACAAGGGGACTCAGGCTCCCTTATTTCTTTCATGATAATGTGCATTACTTTCAGATGTGGCAGAAGTTTCCTTGTTTCATCTCTACACTTCATCTGCCTCCTCATGCAGTTAGAAGCACACTGCATGCTCTGCAGAGCAGAGGGAAATCTATGGACTTAAGAGTGGGGGAAGCAGCAATGAGGAGGGATGGAGAAATGCAAGGCTGGGATTGTGGCTTGCTATCACACCCAACAGGCCAAAAGGATTGGGAGAACATTGGGAATGGGGAGAGGCACGTGCCCTGGTGGGAGGGAGAACTCAGCTCCCACTGCAAGTGAGAGGAACCCTCAGACTTCCAAAGGCAAGAAAGTTCTTCCTGAACGCAGCTGCACTCAACGTGGTCACACATGGTATTTATATGGGATCTAAATGCCCAAGCCAAGGAGGCCAACCTGCTTATTTTCAGGGTTTATGAGGGGTGTCACTTGCTGAAGTGTCGGGTGACTTCAGCCACAAGTTGCAGCAGCCAAGTTGTGACACCGTGAGGAAATGAGTGTGTAATGGAAAAGGTGACAGAAGGTTTAGGGCTTTTTTAACACTTTTTAAACAGTTCTCCACTTGCAGCCTGTGGCAGGGGTTGGAACTGGAGGAGCTTGAAGGTCCCTTCCAACCCAAACCAGGCTGGGATTCTGTGTAGGCCAATAGAAGTCATGGGGGTGAATGTACCTCACTGCAGAGTCCTGCTTGCATGCCATAGGGATATCCCCGTGAGAGCTCCAGTGAGCACAGCCCCATGGCCGAGCAGGATGTGGTGCGGGGAGCACAAACGGTACCCGTGCACTGAAAGCCTCTGTTGGGAGATGCCCGTGACCCGCAGTGTGTGTTCTGTTCACAGCTTCGACGTGGAGAATGGCCCGTCCCCAGGGCGCAGCCCGCTGGACCCGCAGGCCAGCTCCTCCTCAGGGCTCGTACTGCACACCACCTTCCCGGGCCACAGCCAGCGCCGGGAGTCCTTCCTCTACAGATCCGACAGCGACTATGACTTGTCACCAAAGACCATGTCCAGGAACTCCTCTCTGCCAAGCGAGCAGTAAGCACACATCATGTGTTAGGGGATCTGAGAGCTTTACATGGCCTCTGGTAAGAGGAGCCTGTGGGTGGTACTCGCGTTTCACAGCCCGAGTGCCCAAGACGGCTGCTTTTATGGTCTGCCAAGGCATGATTTCCCCATCCCCACCCACCCTGAAAGTGTTCCCCTTTTCTCCAGAATTTAGCAGCAGTTTTCCACTCCATATCCTGAAATAATAACAGAAATCTTGCATCTACCTTTGTTGGTACCAGTTCTTCACATGGGGATTTGTGGGCATGGGGGGATGAAGCGCTAGCAGCTAACTGCAGAGCAGAGACTGCTGCCAGGTCCTTTTGTCTCCATTGGAGCTGGAGGCAGGAGGACCCTGTCACTCCAGTCCTTGGCTTGCTCACACTCCCTTTTTGCCATCATACTCTCAGTGCGTGCTCTCGGAGCCTGCTTAACATCATCTCTGCTCTTTTCTCCATTAGGCTGGACCAGAGGGAGATGACTGTACTTACATTTACAGTATTGCTCTTCTCCATCCTGTTTTCTGTCACGGGCTGTTAACTAGAGCTGAGCGGAAAATACAGCAGAGAGCCCAGACAGATGGCTGAGCTTGAGAGGATCAATACAACAGAGCACAGAGCTTAAAGGGGTGTCCTAGATTTGCAGCCCTTTATTCTGAAAGGCCCAGTTTAAAGCTTTAAAGTGAGCATTAAGGTATAAAAAGCGGTTTCTGGTATGAAAGCCCTGCAAGCTTTGTCATGAAGTAGAAATCCAGATACTGGGATGTCCCTCCCTGTTAGTTAACAGTTAGTAAATACATACCAGAGACCAAGTGATCACTCCAAACTATGCAAATACCATGTTTTGTGTAAACAGGGGATTCCAACAGTTGCCCAGTGCTCCCAGCCAGCTGTGCTGGGGTGGGGGGAGCCCCGTCCAGATGTGCCCACCACCCTGGTTGCTCCCAGCGTCACAGCTGCCTGCAGTTCAGCAGATCCATTTACTGCAGGGTAAAGGCTCCTGTACCACCTAGGGAGCTGCCACCTCCCGGTATGAATCCTCCAGTTGAAAGCAGCCTTCCAGTGTCTGAAGGGGGCTACAAGGATGCTGGAGAGGGGCTTTTCATCAGGGATTGTAGTGATAGGACAAGGGGTGATGGGTTTAAACTGAAACAGGGGAAGTTCAGCTTAAATCTAAGGAAGCTCTTCCCTGTGAGGGTGCTGAGGCGCTGGCACAGGGTGCCCAGAGAAGCTGTGGCTGCCCCATCCCTGGCAGTGTTCAAGCAACCTGGTCTAGTTCCTTTAGGGATGGGGCAGCCACAGCTTCTCTGGGCACCCTGTGCCAGCGCCTCAGCACCCTCACAGGGAAGAGCTTCTGCCTAAGAGCTCAGCTCAGTCTCCCCTCGGGCAGGTTCAAGCCATTCCCCTTGGCCTGTCCCTACAGGCCCTTGTCCCAAGCCCCTCTCCAGCTTTCCTGCAGCCCCTTTAGGCACTGGAAAATCTTCCATGATGAAAAAAGCCAGACAGAACCCAGCGCCTGAATAACATTAAAGTCTGTGACAGAGATCAGCAAATGCCAGGAAATTCAAAGCTGACCTTTCCCTGGACTCTTACAGGGTTTTTTCCACCACGGTGCAAGCGTGTGCCTTAACTTCTCTATTTCCTGGCTTTTATTGCCCGGTGTTACCAATTGGAACAGGCTCTCCAACCGGGTTGTTTTGGATGTACACTGCAAAGACCTTTCCATTAGGAGCAAGGTTTTTATGTGGTGTTAAATACATGCTGCACGGGTTAAAGTATAGGGTTTGGGGTGGAAACTCACTGTATATTTAAAGTGACCTGTTTGGGGTAAATTCACACCAATTCACACATTTCCCTTTCTCCTCAGGCATGGGGACGACCTGATCGTCACACCTTTCGCCCAGGTGAGTCGGAGACCTCTTAAACCAATGCAAAACCACGCGAAAAGCCTCGGGTGGGGAAGGTTAACATCTCTCTGCTTTCGCCTCCCCCATAGGTGCTGGCCAGCCTACGAAGCGTGAGGAACAACTTCACGCTCCTTACCAACCTCCACGGCACCTCCAACAAGTAAGCAAGTGTTTCTTAGGTCCTTGATGGTTATCGCTTAGCAGGGGGCCGAGCAGCGACGGCCTGCACTTCCCAATGCTGGACGCCAGGCGGCGCCAAAGCGCAGGCCGCCGCGCCGCGCCTCCCCTCGGGGATCTCCGCAGTGATCCTTGAGGATGGAGCGCTGGATTTCCACTTGGGAACAGGCGATGGGATGTGTTTCCGGGCACGGTAGGATGTGCGGCACTTTGGGTGACCCAGGTGTGTGTGTTAGGTGCATAATTGGGAGCGGAGGTCGAGATGTGGCGCTGGCCCTGCATTGGCAGCAAGAGAGGTGGTTCGCAGCCAAAGGAGGGAGATGCCAAGCAGGAGGATGTGGGGATGGGGAGGGTTTCACCCAGGGTTTGGGTCTGAGGGGATGCCCAGAGAGCCAGGCTTTGCTGCCTGCAGGCAGGGAGCCCACCTTGCTTCATTTCACACTGGAATTGCACTGAATGTGGCAGGTGATGAACGTAAGAGGAAGGTGTGTTTTTATACCTGCTCAACAGGAGAAACCCAACAAACTCCTTTTTATGCCTCTGTCCAGAACCATCATTTCCCCATAGCTATTTATAATGAGCCAGTCACCGTCATTTTCTAGGTTGTTTTGCCCCAAGAGAGCTGTTCTATATGAAACCAGCATCACTTGTTCCTGGTGACGTTGGTTACACACCCATCCATTCATCCATCCGTCCATCCATCCCTCCCTGGGGCTGCTCATCCAGAGCATCCCACTCTTCCTTGAAGCGGAAGATGAGGTGCAAAAGCGGACTCCACCGGGACCCCATGGTATTGCTTCAGTACTGCACATGGAGGTGGCATCACCTGGGTGTCCACCATGGACTCAGGTTTCCGCCTTCCAGTGCACTCTTGTATGTTACATGAAGCCCAGCACTTCATCCAGGCGGTTTTCCTCCTGTTGATGCCTCCTTACAAACTCTGATGGGAAGGAACTGCCACATTCCAAGATGGAGGTTAACAGAGAAACAGATGGCTGAGGTCGATTCCCTTCTTCCAGCTTTCCTGAAGAACTCCAGCATTTCAGCAGTTCCTAATGAGGAACCCATAATCGGACAGGGCCGGAAGGAAGCGCGGGCGCAACCTGCAGGACACACAGGCGTCTTGCAGTGTCCTGTTGAAAGCATTCCCAGATTTGCCTGAGGTCTAAAGTCACTTGCCCAGCCAAAGTAAGAGTCGTGAAATGTTTAAGCCATTATACACCACCCATCCAAGTCCGTGGTGGAATGTGCTTCCAGGCGCTGCGGAGCTTCCCGCTCTCTTTCCAAACAGCTCTGCTGGGTTACAGCTCGTGATTTTATCATATGTCTCATGATATGTGGTATTTCACTCCAGCTTCTGCTCTGGGGATCATGAGAATCTCAGCTTTGCTGTAGCCCGGCCTCTCCTCTCTTTTTCCTCTTGTCCCAAGGAGGAAGGAGGATGCTGGCCCACGTATTTGCAGAAATGATGGAAAAGATGAATGCTGAAGGCTGGAGGGGAAAAAAAGCCTAATTAGAAGTTGTGTTTTTTGGACTTCAGCATCAGGGGTTTTCAGGCAGTTTCCCGATTGGAATAGAGGAGAGTATGATTAATGGGTTTGGAGTGCCTGAGTTTGGCAGATGCGGCACAAGACATGGTCAGAAAGCATCCAGCACCTACTCCTCTGAATGCCCACTGGCAAGAGAGAAAGAATGGGAAGTGCGAGCCATGACCACTTGAGTGTGGTGGTGCCTAAGGTGGGACAGTGCTGTGGAAACCCAGATCAACGTAGAAAGGACACGGAGCTGTTGGAGCAAGTCCAGAGGAGGCCATGAGGATGCTCAGGGACTGGAGCACCTCCTGTATGGAGATAGGCTGAGAAAGTTGGGGCTGTTCAGCCTGGAGAAGAGAAGGCTGCGTGGAGACCTCAGAGCAGCTTCCCGTATCTGAAGAGGGGCTATAGGGATGCTGGGGATGGACTCTTCATTAGGGACTGTAGTGACAGGACAAGGGGTAATGGGTTAAAACTGAAACAGGGGAAGTTTAGATTGGATATAGGGAGGAAGCTCTTCCCTGTGAGGGTGCTGAGGCGCTGGCACAGGGTGCCCAGAGAAGCTGTGGCTGCCCCATCCCTGGCAGTGCTCAAGGCCAGGTTGGACACAGGGGCTTGGAGCAAGCTGCTCCAGTGGAAGGGGTCCCTGCCCGTGGCAGGGGGATGGAACTGGATGATCTTAAGGTCCTTTCCAACCTTCATTGATTCTATGATTCCCTCTCTGGATCTCTGTTACCTGCACCTTGGCTGCCGCAGAAACCAGGATGGGCATGGCCAGGACGTAATTGGAGGATGCCGGGAGCGGTGCCGTTCCCTTTTCCAGGTTTCCAGGCTCTGCAGCGGGGAATACCCTGCTGGATTTGTGTTCATCCCTCCCCGCCTCCCCGCGGGCATGCCTGTGCAGCTCGCGCGGGCTTGGAGATACCTGGAGCACGTCTCCCCAGATACTGGAAGCGCTGCAGCCGTGGTGTCCCCATTGGGGAGTTTCTGTTTTTGAGAGATCTCCAGATCTGCCTTTTCAAAGGCTCAGCAGAGGCAGGTCAGGGCAGATTTTAGAGCAGTCAGCATCCAACCTGTGCGCCCCGTGCTGAACCCTTCGAAGAATCTGGCTCCATTAAAAACAAGCTTTCCCAATCCCGGCTGGCCCATGGGTGCTGCTGCTCCGGAGCAGCCTTTGGACACTGGCACGGGCTGTACCTGGTTAGCGAGGCCTTCCTGGGGCAGGGCTGCAGAACCCCCCGGAGCTACAACTGCAGCAGAATTGAGCCGCTCGCTTGCTTTGATTTGAGCTTCAAAGGAAGCTGGCAAATAATGGATGTTTCAGCTCGGTGCCTGGCTCAAAAACTGGGGGTGAGGAGGTTGGCTGGGAGGGAGCGGGGGGAAATCTGCCTTTGGTTAAAATGTGCTTCTTAAGGAAGGAAAAGCCCAAAGTTTCAGTTCTGGCCAGCCTGAAGTACCGTGTTCAGTGCAAAACAAAGGATCTTCATCTTGGTGTCAACTCTGTTCAAGCTCTTGTTTTAAAGGAGTCTCTTTTTTCCGCAAGTAAATTGTGGTTTTGACTTTAAAACCATCAGTTTTATTTGGCAAATCTCTCAGTGAAATCCTCTGACATGTGGAGAGATGCTGCAGCCATTTTCCAGTCAGACCCCCTTGCCTTGGCTTGAACTAATTCTTCAATTAGCATTTGAAATCCAGACTTTCCGGATGAAATCATTGCTCTTCATCAAGAAGATGTCCTTCAGCTGCTTCAGAGCTTTCTTAGTGACTGCAGCATCCCCTTGCTTGCTTCCAGGTGCAATTCAAACTGTTAACTGCAGGGTTTAAAGCTGTTTCTCAGCTATGGCATTGCCCTTTGCCTTGCAGCCTGCATGCTTGTGTGGATTCTGATGTTACTTCAGGGTCCAGACCTTCCAGGGAGAAGGTGTTTGGGAGAAGGCCTTGATTCTGGGGCTGCCACTGACCCCTTCAGCCACAGACGCTGGGCCTTGCCTTCTCCCGGGCACGTTTTGAGCAGGAATTGTGAAGGCAGCATGGAAAAATGGCACATCTTCCCTGGAATGCCTTCTTCCCAAGGGACATCCCTGGCTGGGCATATTGAACAGGTCTGTCAATGGTGCTCTTTAACTGCCAGATCTTCTTGAAGTGTTTGGGGTTTCTTTGTGAATATGGAGAAGGATTTTGGCCTGTGGGAGGTGGCAGTTTGAAATGGTCAAACATTGCCTATTGATAGAGTGTTCTTTACCTCTTTTAGGAGATCTCCAGCAACAAGTCAGCCTCCTGTGTCCAGAGTTAACCTGCAAGGTATGTGTGTGGCTTTGATAACCACCTGCAAGGTCAAATTGCACATCATTTTACCAACACCTACTTCTGGGCTCATAGAGCTGCTTCTGGCTTGCTCGTGCAAAACCAATAGGAAAGAACCATGAAGCCCAAAATGTTGTTATTGTGATGGGTTGGGGTTGGGGTTTATCCTTGTGTATTAGCATAGAAGATGAACACGATTTTGGTCTGATAGTCACGGCCACAGTGACTGCTGTTCTGCCGAGTCCCTGTGCTGCACAGGCCTGGACAAGCCCCAGCCTACGAGCCTTGAACAGGCTCAGACACAGCTGTATTTTTTTACCCTGTTTATTTCAGTTTGTTTCCATGTGATCTATGTAAAAAACGTGATCTGAAGAACCTCGCTCAGGTGAAACTGCCCCCGCTCTCAGCAGGCTGCCCTGCAAGGGCATTTTTCCATCTCTCTTGACACCTACATGTAGCAATCAGAGGAGAGCAGAAGTCAGGGAGCGTGGCTGATCCCAGCTTCTCCCTGCCTGCTCCCCCTGCACACCGTGTCCCTCAGTCCCCTTGTCCTCACCCCCCCATCAGCTCAGAGACCACAGCAAGGTCTGACTACAACCAAGGAGCAAGGCAGGGTGAAGTGCTGACGGTGGGAAGCAGAGGCAGCCTGCTGCTTACTTAGGACAAGTTTATTTCCACCCCTGGGTTTAGCCATGCAGTGCTGAGGGCTTGTGGGACCCCTCTGCAGAACAGAGCTTGCACTCATTTAAAGGTTACTCCCCCAGGGAAGGAGATAAGATTTGGAGGAGTGCCCATTTGTAGGCTTAATCTCAGCCTTTCCAATAATTACGTGCTTGGAGGGACTCATAAAGCTTAATTTTTACAGTGTGTGAAGCCTGGGTAACTATCCAGCATTTCCTTTCATGCTGGGTAGGATTTACTGTCTGGGGACACGTGTAGTCCAGATTAGGTTCCTCAAGCCTTGTTAATGGGATGCAGAAACCTCTGATGCAGAAACAAAACTGGAGGACAGGATCCTCAGGTCCTCTTTCCCTCCCTGCCTGTGACCAGTGCCGAGGCAGAGCTGGCAGGAATGCAGCTCATCACCTTAGGCAGAGATCTGTTCCAGCAAGACTTCTGGTTCCGTGGCCTGTGTGGAAACAAAAGCCATGGAAAATTTCATGGGATGTGTTTGTGTGAGTTACAAGAACAGGGAGAGAATTCCCTCCCAGGAATTTTTAGGTTAACTTTCTGTGGGAACAGTGGCTTTCAGCATGTTAACCCTTTGCAGAGACCTCTCTGCAATGAGAGCTCTAGGATGCTTGCTTCCTTTTAGCGAATCCAAGCTTCTAAAGCTGGGCATGCACTAAAACCTGAGCTTCCTTTTTGACTAAAGAGCCTGACTCATGTAACTGTAGAGCAAGTTTTGTGTTCCCTGCAAAGCTCCAAGAGACAAAGCCACTGAGAAGAATCCAACTTTTAGCATTTTTAGCCTTGTGATCCTGACTCATGGGTTTTAATGCTTCAGTCCTGGTAATTAGAGGTGAATAGATCTAAAATGAATTATATTCATGTCTCACCTGAGATGTGGAAAAAGAGAATGGCCAGATGTGGGAATGAGCCACGCTGGATGAGTTTTCCATACGCAGGCTTTTATTTGGTGACCTTGGAAGAAGTTTGCAGCTCAGGGTTTGTGGGACTTGTGTTAAGCAGGGAAGCAGAGGCTGGATGTGCGCTCCTCAAGTAAACTGAGTTCTTAACCATGAATCTTGTGACTTCAGGTGAAATCTTCAAACGAAACAAACGGGTGTGAGTGCTATCATTATGTGATGTAAATTGTGACAGTTTGTAGATGAGACCTCAGAGCAGCTTCCAGTGTCTGAAGGGGACCTATATGGATGCTGGGGAGGGACTCTTCATCAGGGACTGTAGTGACAGGACAAGGGGTAATGGGTTAAAACTGAAACAGGGAAGTTTAGATTGGATATAAGGAGGAAATTCTTTCCTGTGAGGGTGGTGAGGCACTGGAATGGGTTGCCCAGGGAGGTTGTGAATGCTCCATCCCTGGCAGTGTTCAAGGCCTGGTTGGACAGACCCTTGGGTGATATGGTTTAGTGTGAGGTGTCCCTGCCCATGGCAGGGGGTTGGAACTGGATGATCTTAAGGTCCTTTCCAACCCTCTTCTCCAGGCTGAACAGCCCCAACTTTCTCAGCCTGTCTCCATACAGGAGGTGCTGCAGTCCCTGAGCACCCTCGTGGCCTCCTCTGGACTTGTTCCAACAGCTCCATGTCCTTTTTATGTTGAGGACACCAGAACTGCACACAATGCTCCAGGTGAGGTCTCACAGGAGAACATTGGGGTCCTAGCTGGGAGAGGGGACAGGCTGTCCCTGGGGCAGGCCAGCACCCAAACACCTTCCTGCTCACTTCTGTGATGGGTTGTGTGCCCTGAGCTCATGTGCTCCCCATGCTCACATGAGAGCAGAGGTGTGGTGAAGAGCACCAGCGTGGCTCTATCCTGCAGGTACTTACTGTGCGTGAACCAGGACTGTCCTGGATCTCTGGCCTTATTTACTTGCTGCATTTGGTGTCCCCATTCTGCTGCATTCCCAGTTCCCAAAGCCTCTCTGGTTTCTGTAGGAGGCTGGATTCACTCTGTAGAGCATTTCCCTCCATCCATTTGGTTTGTTTCCTTTCCCTGTTTATGGCCCTAGTTGCATACAGGAGCTCGCCTCAGTCCAGCAGCAAACAATGACAGCCATTGACTTTCTAAGGAAGTTTCCATTTCAGTGCAGCAGAACAAAGATTTTTAGGAGATTATTTATTTTTCTACAGCTTTTTTTTTTCCCTGCGTGGCTTCTGATTTGGAAATGATGAGAGGAAGGAAAGATTTTTCCTATCGGAACACTTCCAGCTCCGTGCCAACGGCTCCTGTGTCTGAAAGGACACGGGGTGGTTTTCCTGACAGTTTTGGAGAAGGAAACAGCGATGTTTTGATTGGGACTGTGCTGAGGTCCATCCCTCTGGATAAAGGAATGTGTTTGGAAATGAGACGTGTTGATATCCTCTCCGTGGGTTAGCTGGCAAAGCCTGGAATTGTATTTTAGCTCTCCCATGTCACACATTGATTCACGGATTTACCACCACCAGTTGACATCAGTATGAGCACCTCGTATATGTCTCCTTCTATTTGTCATTAGTGGAGTGATTTATATCCTGTTACGAGAAGTGCAGAACTCGGGGTTTGAAGCAAACAGGCATACATTAATCAAATTACCCTGGAGGGAGGCAAATCCCACGCAGCATTTGTGCTGGAGTAACGCGTGCCAGCTGTTTGCTCCAGCTAGGATACTTCAGGGTTAGTCAGGGAGGAGCAGGTCTGTGGCCCCTGCACTCCCAGGGAGTTGCGTTGCTGAGGACCCAGGCGCAGGGTGAAGGGACTGAGCTGTTGGAATGATGCAGTTCTGCTTTGCTTTCGTTTTCCTCAACGTATGGAAAAGCCTGGCCAGGTTTCCCGTGGCACAAAGCGCTCTCAGAGCCCACGCTGATGTCACTGTGGATTTCAGGGCTTTCTTAACCTTCCCACCACAGCCATAAAAGGAAGAGCAGTGTGTAGTGAACATCCTGTGTTTTGCCCTTGGTATCGGCTCCGGTAAATGTGGCAGATTTTTCCTGTTGTTTTGTTGGAGATCACAGGAACGCACGGAATTGCTTTTGTGAATTAACCGAGAAACCGTAACATGGAAATACAAAGCCATAAACCCTTACTGAGCTCCTGTGCTCTGCCCCGGGGAAGGGTAATGGGGATCATAGAATCATAGAATAGTTAGGGTTGGAAAGGACCTTAATATCATCCAGTTCCAACCCCCTGCCATGGGCAGGGACACCTCGCTCTAAACCATATCACCCAAGGCCTCGTCCAACCTGGCCTTGAACACTGCCAGGGATGGAGCATCCCTTGGGGATACTTCAGACCATGAGGTTCTGGAGCGGTGTACAGCAGTACAGGTGTACAGTGCAGCGGTGCAGGGTTGGGACTGCCCCTGCGCTGGGCACTGGGGAGGCCGAACCTCAGATCCTGGATTCAGCTCTGGGCCCCTCACTGCAAGAGAGACCTTGAGAGGCTGGAGCGGGGCCGGAGAAGGGCAGCGGAGCTGGAGCAGGGCCTGGAGCCCAAGTGTGATGGGGAAGGGCTGAGGGACCTGGGGGGTTCAGTGTGGAGAAGAGAAGGCTCAGGGGGGACCTGATGGCTGCCTCCAACTGCCTGACAGGAGGATGGAGCCAGGAGGGGCTGGGCTCTGCTCCCAGGAACAAGGGACGGGACAAGAGGAACCGGCCTCAAGCTGCACCAGGGCAGGTTTAGATGGAGCTGAGGAACAATTCCTGCCCCAGAGGGTGCTCAGGCATTGGAACAGGCTGCCCAGGGCAGGGCTGCAGGCACCGGCCCTGCAAGTGTTCACACCCTGTGGAGATGAGGCCTCAGTGCCATGGGTTAGTGGTGGCCTTGGCAGGGCAGGGGAACGGTTGGACTGGGTGAGCTTGAAGGGCTTTTCAGCTTGATTCTATGATCATAAATGAATGCTACCCAGTTGCCTCCTCTGCAGTTACAGTAACGATGACATGAGCACACTTGCACATGGTGTCACACAGATGGCTGTGCCATTGCTTTCTTTGTTTCTAAGTGTGGCCTCTGCCACAGTTGCTTTCATTGACTTTGTTCAACCTGGGGCTCAGTGCATCCATCAGCACCTTCTCTCAGTGCAGCTCTCTGTTCCCTTGGCATCAGTGGAAGGTCTTTAGTTCCTACCCCCTTGATTCAGCTAATAAAATCTTGAACACATGTGGCAGCTCCTGCTTAGCTTTGTTCCTTCCTCCGTATTTATTTACTTCACTGGCCCTAATTCCTTCTGAATTAAATTGCTTGTCTCTGGCTGCCACGTTCAGCCTGAGCCTCTCTTTCTTCACCCATCTTGCTACAATCTTTTCTCAGTCCTTTCTGTTCCCTTTGTGTTTTGCTC